CCTTTGACACGTTGGCAGAATTCAAGAACCAAATGGGTCTTATAGAAACTGATCTTTGCTTTCACCCCCAATTACTGATTCATGTCTAAGACACATTGATAGAGTGGAATCATCTGCCATCTCCCAGGCCCACAGTTTTTCATAAGTACTAAAAAAATAAAACAACAATGGGCATTTTACACATGCTCCGGGGTGGGGGGAGGAGGCAGAAACGCACTTTATTTTAGTGATTCACGCTAAGTAAAAGTGCCTAAGCATCATGTGTATCAGCATCCCCCGCACTGAAAAATGGTGGCAGGGCGCTTTGAACAAAAGCTCATTGAATGAACTTTAGTTCAAAGCACCTTGCCACCATTTTTCAGCATGGAGACACTGATACTCATGATGCCAGAGTCTGCTAGAGCATGTTCATTTCCGTGCTCTAGCAGACTTGATTAACCAAGTCTGCTCCAACGTGCTGGATTTCCAGCGCATCAGAGCCAGCTCCCTGCATGTCTATAGGAGCCCAATAAGTCTCTTCTTTCATTGGTTTGGATTTGGTGAAAGAGTCTGTCTCCTATGTCAATGCAGTGTCTTACCTGATCCTTTTTTCCTCTCCTAACATAAAGGTGAAAAATCCCTAACTGGCATAGTCTGAACTTTTTGGCTAGGGACAGACATTACACATAAACTGGTTTAAGTGATCAGAAACTGGTTTAAATCTGTAACAGAACAGATATTCAGTGTACATAAACCAGTTTGAAAATGGCTGAAGCAGGTTTGAGATAAACCTGGTTGAATGTAGTATCAGACTTAACTGATTTGGCTCAAACCAGTTTATGCAATGTCTGTCCCAGACCCCTTCCTGGTTTAACTTAAACTAGTCCCCCAGCATCCCAGATGCTTTGCAGCCCTCTCTGCTCCAGAGTGGGGCTGGCCCCGCCCCTCTGCTCCCTAGCTGGAGCTCTGACGAAGACTGCCATGTCCCTTCCCCCACCAACACCACTCACTGCTTAAGCAGGGACTCTCCTCCTCCCTTCTCCCACAGCACAGACTGTAACCAGCATGTGGTATGCTAGCTGATGCTGAGAGGTGTCTGTGTAAGGCAGACAAAACAAAGGCAGACAGGACAGTGTCTACTTAGGGTTTTTTGGAGCTAAACAACAGGTCATCTGATAATGTCCCTCTGTTCCTTCCTTGGAAAAAGTTGTTTAGTTCAAGCTTTTCCTAATAAGTGAGGCTTTTGTTTTCTTGATAGTGTGCTAAATGCTGTATTACGCCCTGTGTAACTCCCTGCTGGCTTCTAGCCTGAGCCACTGCAGGCATGTGCCTGCATTTCTTCAGTTCAGAGGGGATGTCTGTACAGTTACAAACCGGTTCAGCTTAGCCAGGTTAGGCTAACCTGCAAAGACTGAACCAATTCAGACTCAGGCTTTCTGAAAGTCTATCCCTAGCCTTTGAAGCAAATAGCATAAACAAGAACACTTTTTTCAATGTTTTAAGTCAGATGCATCCCAGAACAGTATTTACAACCCATCTTAAACCAAGATGAACACACCCATCCTATCTAGAACCTCTAGTCTGCCTCAGAAATACCTGATAGCTACAGTATTCAGGGATAAGAAAATGGTTTCAATTGAAGTAACAAGGTGACCCAATGAAGTTAGAGCTACTTATGAGTACAGCATCTGACATAGGTAAGGCATCTATCCCCACATATGCTAGTATTTATTCCTGCATCCCTAAATGAGTTATCCTGCCAAGATAAAGCGTTCAAGTTCTTTTTTGTAGAAAGCTCAGATTCAGTGCAATACTTCTGTCATCACTGACCCTGGGGCAATGCAGATAGCAGCTGCAACTTGCCCTCTGCTCAGGGAGTTGTAGAGGTCATCACAATCCAAAAAATGAGAAATCTTAGTTCAAGAAAGGAGTGCTGTTCAAGTAAAGAGAAAAATGTGCAGATTGAGCACCAGAGCCAAACAGTTTCTTCATTGCAATTTCTATGAAGCCAAGGACATAACTTTAAAAATGTCCCCATACACTGAAAAATTCTGTCGGAGGGTGTCAGGACCCGCCTGCTTGGGTAGAAAACCTAGTCTGGTGAAGGGAGATACTTAGCCTATAGCTTACAAGCATCTACCTGACTGACTTTATCATCTCTCCATGTAGGTCCCAACATGCTTTGTCTGTAAAAGAAAAGTGTTGATGCAATTTAACTTAGAAAAAAAGTTTTCTAGCAAGACTAGGTGCCCAAAGATTATAATTAGGCAGTTTTATGTTAAACCCAAACATCTATCCACATGAATGTATAATGCCCACCAGGGAACAGCTACCACTTTTCTCATCAGTTTAGGAAGCTGAAGAAACCAAAAAAGTAATTGCTCTCTGAAGGGCTGCTGTGCAGAGCACGCATTCTTCAGCATCATCATTTGATCACCCTGGGCTCCAGTGGAGAGGAGTTGGGAGGTTGCAATGTGAAGCAGACTTCTAGATTTTGCTCTGCTAAGCAGGATTTGGGAGGCACTGGGAGATGTTACTCCAATGGGAAGTGAGCTGAATTTCATTTGTTTCAGACCACTAAAGAGATGTGATCTATCTTAGCGAAGAGCTTGTCAAAACAAATCATTGTGGAGTCAGAGGAGTAAAAAGTGGAAAATACTTAGTCCTAACCCATTTCTCTGATCCATATGGAGTTATTTGCATTTTTAACTGCTCTTTCTACTCTAAGAAAGTCACAGAAACACAGGAAAAAGTGCAAGTGGTTCTTATATCGCCACTCATTCACACAAAGGACTTGAGGGAAAAACACTGGGAAAAGTAGGATTCAGGTATGGAAAGTTACAAATAGAAAACCCCTGTTGGGATGTCACCACCATATAGAATCCCCTTTATTATTTACTGCATTCTCTCTGGCTGCAGTTTCCAGCTATATCCAAGGAGAGTTTAACAGAAGGATGCCCTTGTAATGGCTAACTGGGATGCCTAGTGATGGAGGTAGGGCTTCCTTCATTGCTCATTCTCTGTAGGACATGTTCCCTCTCTCCCTGCCTCTCCAAACAACCCATTTGAGAGAGAAAGGAAGTTCTTTAATAAACCCTCGACCCCCAGACCCACTGACCTAGACACATATGGGTCTCCCTCCCTTTTCAGACCACTGGACTGTCCTCACATGCCTGGACTTTCAAAACAGTGGAGCCACTGACTGGTCCCCACAGCAATTGGTCTCATAAACATCCTGAGCCGAACAAATGAGTGAATCGTCATATAAAGCTGCTGCAAGTCCACAGTCTTTTCCCTCCCTGCTTCCTTGCAGTGACGCATATACCTCATCCAGCAGTTTCCTGGGAAGAGTCATTGGCTTGCTTGTCATGTGCTGAAGAGCTCTTTCAAAGTGAGCAGTGCCAGGGACAGCACGGCTGATCTGTAAATCCTTCCTCAGGAGAAAAGTGTTTGGCTCATCCCTGAGAGCACTGCTACGATGTAAATACCAGCTCAGACACAGACTCGGAAGTGGCACAGTGCCAAGGCTTGGTGATGAATCACAGGCATGAGGAGCTTAGCCTTTAGCACTCAGTTTTAATCAGCAGAGAATTTTAAATAAATAAGCCTTGTTTGTGGCTCAGAAACTTTAGAGGGCCTTTCGGAGCATCTGAGAGGAGATATTCTGCTGAGGCCCTACCTGCACTCCACCTGTTAAACTTCCATGGGTATTTCCAGATGGCTTGATGTTCATCATAAAAACAGGCAAATAGACATATCAAACACAATTTCTGGGAGTTCAGCTTCCGAACTGAACTTCACAGCTGGGATACATTTCTAGACACTAGTACGGTTACCTAGGCATCACTCATTACGCAGAGCTATGAGTGTCCAGTCCTATCTTCCCATAAATAAATCATAATATGCTGCCACTACACACTGGAAAATAAAAGGTGCTCACCTTGACCTTCCCCAAACCACTCCTTGCTTACCTCCCCAGCCTGTTGATAGCAAGTCAGGAAGGCGCTTTTCATACAGCATTCATTCTTCTGGTAGAGAACCATAATGTTCATGCTTTCTACTAACTCACCTTATCCTGTTCCCAAATCATGACTCTCAACAGGGCTGTGACCCCTTATCTGCAGCAGGCTCACAGAATCTGCAGGCTAACACTTGACAACAATAAAAGATAGACGTCCTTTTGCAAACACATTCTTAAAATACCTTAGCTGGAGACCATTAGCTGCTAATGAAATTCATAGAAAAACACAGGGTAAATGATTACTATGGCATGCCAAGGAGAATCAGACTCCTTCCATTGATTCAAAAAAGAAAATAATGGCTGGGATTTTACAAAGAGAATCAGGCATAATATGGAATTAAAATGAAGACTCTTGCTAACTAGAAGGGTTGCCTTTCACAAAGGTGTAATTCTGACCACTTGGGTTATAGTGTAGTTAAATGGAACAGATGTATCCATAACAATGTTTATGAAAGTGGTCCAGTCCTATCTTCCCAGAAACCAATCATAATATGCTGCCACTACACGCTGGAAAATAAAAGGTGCTCACCTTGACCTTCCCCAAACCACTCCTTGCTTACCTTCCCATCCTGTTGATAGGAAGTCAGGGAGGCACTTTTCATACAGCATTCATTCTTCTAGTAGAGAACCACAATGTTCAAGCTTTCTACTAACTCACCTTATCCTGCTCCCAAATCATGACTCTCAACAGAGCTGTGACCCCTTATCTGCACAAGGCTCACAGGATCTGCAGGCTAACACTTAACAACATCTATGAATGTGTGGGGCCTATTGTAATAGTGTGTACCTATAAAACAACTGCTTGGCCCGCATCAACTGGCATTGATCAGGCACTACTCCAAGTTTGTTCTGGTGTTATAATTGCACCTCCTTTGGAAATGTAACTGTTTAGGTACCTCTGGAAAGAGAAATTGGTCCTTTTGATAAAAAGCCACTGATAACAGCAAAACAACTGCTGAAAGCAACTCAAAATATTCTGCTATGTCTAAAAACCACTCACCTTAGCACATGTGTTGATCCATTTATAGTGGTGGTAGAACAGGGGACGGCTGGACCCAAGATGGAAGGCCTTCGATATCGTTCATCACCACAACACAGAATGATGAGGAAGGCACGTCTGAAAGATTTGTTCAAGAAGGCGTACAGGAAAGGGTTCAACCCTGAATTGATGTAGCCCAACCACAGGAAAGCTGTCCACAGCTGCTCGGGCACAGTGTAGTTTATGAAAGGGTCCACTATGTTTGTAATAAAGAAGGGAGCCCAGCATAGGCAGAAGCACCCCATGATGATACACAGGGTTTTGGCAGCTTTGGTCTCAGTCTTCATACGATGGGTACTATGCTGGTCAGGATGGTGCTGCCTCCCATCTGTGGGAGCTCCTGCACGCTGGAGGATCCGGATCTGGCGGGCATGCTCCCTGGCTGTGATGTAGATCCGATAGTAGGCCAGCACCATCAGGAGGAAGGGAATGTAGAAGGCCACCACTGAGCAGGTAATGGCATACGGCTTGTTGACCATGAATACGCAGTAGGTTGAGTTGGAAGCCTTGTTGAACTGCCTTTGTTGTATCTAAAAGGGTGGGATGGGGAGGGGAGAAAAAAGAACAAGAACAAAAAACAAGAAAATGTTTATCACAGTTTCTCTGATGACACAAATCTGACAACTTGGTTGCTTTTCTGCCTCCTCAGCTGGCTTTTGCTTCTCTCTATCTTCCTCTTTTTTTTTCTCCCTCATTTTTCGTATCTATTGTGCCTGTCTTTTCCATCTGCCATTATATCATATCCTCCCTGTGTGTTCATCACCATGTAATCTGCTGCACTGAAGCTCTTGATGGGCTATTACTCTGTAGTGAGTGCCACTGCTCCAAACTTGCCAGAGACCTCCTCAACCTGGCTATTAAGTATTCATGATCTCCCTGAATTAGAGATCAAAGAATACAAACTAACCCCCCCAACCTCAGACAAAAGCAAAAGAAGAGTAATATTTGCTTTCTGCTCTTCATCCAACATCTACCAGCAATAAGACTGTCCAGACTTTTCCTAACCAAGCCCATCTTGGAAACTAGAGAAGAGCCTGAATGAAGTTCATGATCTGCATTAAACAGAACAGACTTCAGCCAGCCTCATCTTTTGACTACAGAATTGTAACCCACAAAGAGTTCCTGTCTAATACGCCATAAATCTGCCTTGAGCTTCTGTAATGTTCTTGTGTTGAACTTCCATGGGGATGCATTTGTAGGGGCTGTAGGATTCCTTGGGCTGCATCTGGACCCTGGCCCCAGACCATGAATACTCACTGGTAAAGAAGAAACAGAGAGGGTGGTGGAAAAAGAAGGAAACTAAAGTATGTGAGTTTAGGCAGGAAATCCTCTGATAGAATTGTTTTGCTACAGGACTGAAGCATCAATTCAACCAATACTAACATTCCTGCCATTACACACCTGTGAGATAAGCATCATTTCCTTTCATTTTCTTTCCTGCACTGATTTTAACAAGACAGTGTGAGAATAAACTTGTCATTTTATTTAGAGCAGTGGCCACTGTCACATTGATTTAAAAATGAAGATGCTGTTTGAATGTTTTCAAAATACGTAGACATGAGGTGTTTTCCACACTGTCATGCCTAAGCCCCATCACGACTATAACCCTATTTCTTTGATGTACTGTGCATTGTCAAGGAAGATACAGTTACACAGGGACACAATTACAGCAAGCACTTTGCTCTGGCATTTAAAGAGTCAATACACAGAAATAAAATTAAGCTTTTTCTAAAAATGATTCAGGCAGAAAAGTCAATGGAAAAAATCAATGGATGGAAAAATTATTTCTTTAAAAAATGCATAACCTAAAGTGGTCCTCGTTTCTTACAAAATGTATCATCTAAAGATGCCCATCTGTTGGTAATGATGGCTTTATCGCCTGGTCCATATGCCAGACAGATTGCACCTGGAGCCAAACAAGAGCCCCAAAATATTAATATCTCCTCTCAGGGTTTGAAACTTGATTTGTTCTGAGATTTGGCTTGTAGGATGCTACCCCAGGTTCTCTTTAAATAGGGCATTTTTACACTTCATCATTTTTCTTACTGCTGTTAATTCTATCATCTACACATTGGTAGGACAGGCAGGGATTTACAGCTCTTACCTCCATGTCCTGCAAAAGAGATTCTGAAAATAAAGTTACAGGGAATGGTATAAAGACTGACTGCATAATTTAAATAGCCCAGAATATGAGGGAGATTTTGCCCTAACCCAATAAGGGCTACGTTGAAACTTGGAGTGCTTCAGTGTTTGGCAAAAAGGAGAAGAAGCAACTGCCCTGCCTGGACTCGTGTGTATGCCCTCAGGCCACCCAGGGTTTCCAATTCACATCTCAGACCTCCATATATGTTGTTCCTAAAGGAGCAAGACTCATCCATCAAGTTCTAACTGTACCATGTGTCAGTTTAGATCCTATGGCCAAGATCTTCAAAAGAGAGTGGGGGTGTTGTAAAGCCCAATGTTTGCGTGTTCAACTAGAGACATTTTTAAGTACTGAATATTTGCCCTCTGAAAATCAACCCCCTTTTTAGAGTCACAATTCAGACACTCAAAATCACTAAGCACATTAGAAAATGTTGGCCAGTGAGATGTTAACCTGCAAATGAAGACATCAGACTTTCTCTTTCTGTGACTTTCTCTGATGCATCTTCACGAAACACTGACTGCACAATTATTACAGTGCAGTCATTTAGTACTTGTATAAACACATACTAAATGACTGTGCAGTAATCTAAGTTATTGTGCAGTAGTGCTGATGAATGGCTTTTTTGTGATGCTGCTGCACAGTAGTGTTGCATCCTGGTTGATGCCACACAATGCTACTATGCAGTACTATTGGGCAATTGCACAGTCAGTGTCTCGTGTAGATATGGCTACTGTCAGGAGTTAGTCGTAATCATGGTACATGACCCCCCCGGAAAAAGTTAAATTCTATGTGTGCAAGATCAATTCATAGGAAGCTTATTTCCCCTAACAATCAGAGGGACACAACAGAACGCTGAAGGGCATTCAACTTATAAGCAAATGTGTAGTCCTGATGAGTTAAAGGACTCGCACAACAATCTGATCTATAGACAACATGGTCTGTGCAATATGCTCCCTGTACAGAGTACATGCAACTGGACTCCCAGTGTAATAAGTGGTTAAGTGGGAGTCAGCACCTTGCAGATTCAGTCTACAGATCTTGAAATACAGATTTCTCTTTTTCCTAGTTTTGACCCAAAGTCTGCTCTTCTTCCTTGGCCAGAATGCCTACTGGCCTTTAAAACAGAAGCCCCATCTCCAGACATTCAGCAGCTCCTCTAAAGAGATGACCTTGTGTTTGTCACTAAAACTCTGTTTTTGCTTGCATCCCTTTCTGGTATGGGGGAAAAAAAAGCAAAAGTGCACATCCTGGATGCAATCACAGAATACTCTTCCCACCAAGCAATTGGAATTCCACTTACTACTCACCAAGTCTATTATGCCAATGCTATTCCAGCCTTGCATTATGGGGAGAAAAGAAATAAATGTCGGGATTACCCAGCACCCTCCAAGCATTACAGCAATGCGTATTGGCGTCATCTTATTCCTGTAAACCAGAGGCTGGCAACAGATGGCATAGTACCTGAAAGAGGAAGGAAAGAGATTACCCATGAGTTACAGAGACCACTCCAGGTGTTCTACAAATAAAATCACAGCATATTTTATCCAATCTGTTTCTCCCATTTTAAAAATAGAAATAATGCTTTGCTTTTCTATGGTTGCCTTTCATCCAAGGAACTCAGAGCACTTTGAAAATATGGAATGAATGAAGCCTCAGAATCTCCAGGGCAGGAGATTCAATATCTTTGTTTCACAGCCAGGGAAGCCAAGACACAACTCAATACAGAGTCTTGTCCAAAGTCACAGAACACAATAGTGGGTATAACCTCTAAGTTAATTCACATCTCTGACTGCTAATCCTGTTCTTTAGCCACACAGCCACCATGTTCCATCTTTTTCCAGTGATGAAGACTGTTATGGCTACATAGAAGATAGGCAAGCTAAGAAGCTGATTTTTTTTTTTATTTCAAATTAATGGCTGTTTACATTGATGCATGCTAGCTAATCATTTCTTATTCATGTCGGCTGCTGAACAATGGAGGTGGGGAACATGCTTTACTAGAAGAGGCAGTGCATTAGTTCAACCAGCGTCTATAGATTGGGCACTTCAGTGGGGCTTTTTAGCACTTTTATCTAAAGCATTTGCATCTGTTTGTGCCTCTTTGGCTTCCTTAGCCCTGCTCCCTTTCACTTTCATTTCACTCAAATCTTGTCCAGACACATTTCCACATGCAACCTGGAGAATGGGCCAAAAGACTGGGAAACTGACTGTCTTTCAATACCTCTATAGCAGAGAGGCTGTGCGCATGACAGCATCTTAAGTTCAACTCTCACTCCCATTTCCATTTTGGATTAATGATAATAACAACAAGACACCACCTCTTTGTGCCATAAATTTCAAAGTGCTTTACAGAGAAAAATATCGTTATTTTGACTGTATTTTGAAGAAACTGAGGCAAGGAACTGCAACATGCCCTGTCCGGTGTCACAGTTAGGTAAACAGCAAAACCATAATGAAAAATGTGTCTTCTGATCCTCAGCCTTCTGGCATCCACGCATCACATATCTGCATCAAAAGAACTTACCTAGTACCTGCCCAAAACACGCAATGTATTGACATGGCCGAGGACGCCAAATTCAAACACAAAAAGATCTATACCCATAGATGAAGCAATGCATCCTCCATGACACCACACTTCAAGTTTGGGCTGGATCGCATTCTAGTCTTTGCTTGGGTAGTAGGGCTGTGCAAAACAGCATTGTTTCATTTCAACTTCCATTTCAACGAGACAGTGTTTCATTTTGAGTTTTGTTTCATTTCAAAACCACTGCTCCGTTTTGTTTCATCGAAGCTCTTTCGCTGTTTCAGTGCTGTTTCAATATTTTGCCCATAGGCTATAATGGGGAAGCATGAAACTGCCTATAGCAATGTCATTTCTTGCCTGATTCAGATTAAACTTGCAGGGATGGTAGGCCCTAATGAGGCCATGAAGCCTGCCAGCTTTCAAGGAGATAGGTGCAGGGGTTTCTGGGAAACTGCACCTCAGGCTGCTGACAAGCAAAACTTGTGACACATGTGTGTGTGTGTGTGTTAAGGTGCACCCTTATTGGTGCTGCGGCCTCTACGTGACACGGTAGTGTGCCCCAATGAGGCATCTTCCTCCCCTACAGCCTCAGCTTGATCCACCACTTTAAATGACAACAGGTAAAATAAAAAAACAGGGGTTTCTGGGAAACTGCACCTCAGGCTGCTGACAAGCAAAACTTGTGACACATGTGTGTGTGTGTGTGTTAAGGTGCACCCTTATTGGTGCTGCGGCCTCTACGTGACACGGTAGTGTGCCCCAATGAGGCATCTTCCTCCCCTACAGCCTCAGCTTGATCCACCACTTTAAATGACAACAGGTAAAATAAAAAAATAGTGAGCACTAGCACAGTAGCACCAGCACCATCTCAGGCAGCCAAACTGTGACAGAGCCTTTCTTTCCGTTTCTGAACAAGCTTCTTCTCCAGCGTGTGTGTTAAGGCACACCCTCACTGGTGCTGCGACCTCTACACAACATGGTAGTGTGCCCCAATGAGGTCTCCTCCTCTCCTACAGCCTCAGCTCAGCCTACCACTTTAAATGACAACAGGTAAAATAATAATTTAGTGAGCAGCACAGTAGCACCAGCAGCATCTCAGGCAACCAAACTGTGACAAATCCTTTCTTTTCTCTCCTGCAAGAGCTTCTGCTCCAGCAGCTGCCAGGGACGTCTCCCTGCCAGGCCCAGCCCTAAGGCTTAGATGTGCCCAGGGCCCTACATCCTTCCTATCACGTGCTAGGGGTGTTGGTCTAAGGACATGGCACTGGCAGACAAGGTCCTTTCCTTTGGGTCAATCTAATCTGCTACCTTTTAGCAGACCAACTGAATAGTTACAGAAATATACCTTAGCAAGCTTTGGATTGAAAAACCCTTCGTAAGGCTAAGGAAGAACCTGCAGGGGTGGGTGTGTTCCGGAATGGAAGGAATAGTAAAGAAGCCAGAGGCTGGCCTGGCATGTAATGCAGGCAAGAAAGCCAGTCAGTGAAAAAGGAAATGGAGGCATCAGGGGGTGAGGGACGGGCTGGGGTTGCGGGAGAAGGGGGATGTAGCAGCGCAGGTAAAAGTGGAGCGGTACCTGGGGAGGCAGATGTCCAGCAGGGTGTAGTGTCAGAATTCCACTGTCTATATTGAGTCCATGACTTTCTGTACCTAGGAGGCTGATGAAGTGCAGTTCATAGGCACCAAGCGGTTCATGGCCCCCATGATCTCTGTTGCCGTGTGGGACTCATTCATCACCTCGGCTTGAAGGAGAGCTCACCGATGGCCTGACTGGTCACACCAGTGCCCTGTGACGAAGAGGTAGGCGTGATCTCCACCCCAGCTGCTCCAGATGTTGGAGGTGAAGCATAAGGCTACCTACGGACCTGCCTTGCACAGCTCCTCCCTCAAGTACTCCCTGCATGTCTCATACAGGGAGGGCACCACCGTCCTGATGAAGGTGATGCATGCGAGCACTTGGTAGGATGGGGCCACGAGCGCCATGAGCCGCCTGAACCCTGGTCACTCAACTAAGGAGAGGCTGGCCATTGACAGCAAGCATCTCCCCAATGATCTCGCTCGCTCTTGCAACACGCCCCCCTTTCTGTTCACCTTTCCCCCACTGTTCCAGGGTGGCCTGCCTCTGCTTTGTGGGGACAGGGGCTTTGGAGCGAGAGGGGGACTTCCCTTTGGGCACGCTCGCACTGGTACCAGGCTGAGGAGGAGCAAGGGCTTGCAGAGATGCATCAACATCCCTGTGGTACTCATGTGTTTTGTTCCCTTGCCCCAGCTGGTTTTGGCTCAGCAGTGCAGGGAGATAGTATATGTGGGATCATCTGCCAGCTCAAAAAGATCCCAGACCACACTACCTGCTCACTTCTGGGGTACGGGTGCATGTGTGGATGCTGCAATTTCCCCCTCCTCAGCAGGCAGGGGCACAGCAGCAGGAGTGGACTCAGCTGAACTGCTTGCCTCTGCAACCTCTACCTCAGCCTCCTTTGAAGTGCCTTCTGGGGAAGGAGACCTGGCTCTAAGGGAAACTTGAGGGGTGTGGAGCACAAACTCAGCTGATTTCCCCTTCCTTCCCCAGAATTTCCCTTGCTATGGCACTCAGATACAGATTCAGATCCAGATCCAGCTCCTCCTCTGGCACTGGAAACCTCAGCATGAAAGTGAAATGGGGGTGGAGGAGACAGTCATGCTAGTGCTGTTGCTGCTGCTTGTTGTCATAGTGGTGGTGGGGCAAGGAGGTTATGGCAGGTGTTCTTGGAGGGAATGCAGACTCAGGCACAGGCAGTGGTACTGTCACTGCTCCCCTCTCCTTGCCACTTCTGGAAACCTCATCCCTGCTAGTTGTAGGAAAGAGACTGTGCCACAGTTTGGGGGGGTTGGAATTTACACCTCTCCCTCTATCCCCTCTTCTGCCCCTCCCTGAAGGCTTGCCAACTGCCTTTCTATCACGCTTCATGGTGTGTTTCACAGTGTCTTGTTTTTATAAAAATATATAAATGTATCTGCATTCCTATATAAATTCTATAATGTAATATGCTGAAAGATATAAATGTATAGAAATAAAAATATATGCATCTGCCTTCCTATATAAATTCTATAGCACAATACCCAATATAATTATGAAATTGAAAATAATAAATCAATAAATATAATAATAAAATAAAAGGGTCTGGAAGAAGGCAAAAGGTATTGTGGAATTCCACTTGGTAAGCTAGCAAGTAGGAAATCAAATCAATGGTAGTAGTAGCCTTTGTTGTCTAACACTCCTGAGCTGCTAGAAGATAGCTCAGTAACTGTCAGACTCCAAGGCAGAAAGTAGGCCAACTCAAACAATGCTGCCTTTTATGCTGGTTTTCTATCCCTCCCCCGAGCACTGGGATTGGAAGGGACCTCAGGGAAGGATCACAGTCACTGGCCAGCTACATAGTCAATAACGAGAGCAGTCCTTCCCCCCTCTCTCTCCTTACTTTCTGTTTCCCTGCAGGTAAGCCCAACTTCAGCTTCGAAACTCGAAACGTTTTGAAACTCTTAAAACACTTCAACTGCCCTCATTTCATTTTCAGGCTGTTTCAAAGCCCTTTGTTTCATTTCAATTTCGCTGTTTCAAGCTCGGAACAAGTCGAAATAGCATCAAAATGAAACAGCCACTGGAATTTCACACAGCACTATTGGTTAGTACTGTTAGTAAGAACAGCTTTTCTAAATGGTTAATTCGTGGCTCTCAAAGCACTTTTTACAAAGCTAGGCCAGGATTGTTATCCCTGGTTTATGGAAGGAGAAACTGAGGAAGAGTGACTTGCCCACAGACTAAAGGTAAGTAAGTAACAGAGCCAGGGAAAGAACCCAGTCTCTCCATTTCCAGACCAGTGCTTTAGTCATAAGGCTTCATTGTAAATGTTTCTTTAACTTTCTTGCTTTGGATTTGATGGCATTGAAAAATGGTGTC